CCTGAGCTGCGCCTACAAGGGTCTTCCCCACCTGCCTTCAGTGAACATGGTCAGCATCCCAGGGCCGTCACCCAACATCTATTTCTAATCGTCCTCCTGATCTCCCACAGGCAAGTCTGGACTCGAAGCTCAGAGGGATTGAAATAGAATAGGTTGCTTCCAGAGTGAGAAAGAATTCTTAGAAGCCACCCATTCGAAGTGGGGCAGGAGTGACAGGACAAAAAGCAGACAGAAATTAAGGGTTAACTTGTCTAAGACTGATGTTCTTCCAGAATGGCATCCCAGAAAAGAGACTGGCCTTCTGCAGTGCTCCATGGGGACGAGCTAGTCCTTAGCACTATTAATTCCTATGAAAAGCAAGGTTTCTAACTCTTTGGAAGGGGAAGAAGGAAAGGTTCTGATAGTTGTTCCACTATAAATGCTGATGTGGTCAACAGCGCACCGATTTACCAGCCCTCAATAAAGCTGCAAGGCTTGGACCCCAGGCCCTTGACTGAGCCAGGGGAGGGGCTGGTGCTGCACCAGTAACGCTGACCTGGCAGCAAGGAACTGAGGTTAAGGTTCTGCCACATTTTCGTGTTACTATTACCATGGCCCCAGATCACCAGGCAAGGAGCCCGTGCTTCTGCAACCACGTCTTTTAAAAAGCCCTCTCTCTCCAAGGGTCTGACGTCTGGCCCTGCCAGACCTCTGAATGCACACAGCTCCTACTGATGCAGTGTCTGAGAGCTTTCTCCAATGACCATTCATCCTGTTTGTATGATACAATCCTTACAAATAGTTCACAACTGTGACTGAAGATATAGCCACCGATTTGCTATATGTGTTCGTTGGTCTATGACTACACCATGTCTGCCACCCTGGCTATCAGTCAAAATATCTGACCTGAAGAATGAGACCGCCAGCCCTTGAATCAATGGCAACCAGGCCACACTGTACATGAGACCCCATCTTTAACAGAAGTGGGAAGTAGAACCTGTCTGCTATGCTTGACTCTGGCCAGGGGGCTCGGAGTGAGGCTCTGGTCACATATGTGCCAGTGGGCTGAACGTTGGCCCCGACTGCACTCAGGTGCCCAGTCCCCGTGAGTGTGGCTTCTGCTCAAGATCATTTGCTCTGTAGTTCCCTCAGGGTGTTGGAGCCTTGCCCTGGACCACAGCCTGCTCAGCTGGGTCCTGACAACCTGCCTTTGCCATCTGCCGGCTGGTATCCTGCTTTAACCTGAATGGGCACCCCTGGAATCAGGATGCTGCCGCCCGCCCCTGAGCACAGCTGCCACCTAGGTGCTGCTGTGGGGCCTCCATTAGCTTGTCTAGACCAATCAGATCAGATGTGCGGAAGCTATAGCACCGTCACCTCTGGGGGAATCCTACAGCCAGGTGAGTCCCCATTCCACTCCGGCCACATATTCTTGATAGTCTGGGTTTACCATCCTCATGAAAATCCTACCCCCGATTATAAAAGCAACACAGATAATTTTCACCATTGCTAGGTACATCAATACTCATCTCTAGAATTTTCATCAACACCGAATCAGGCAATAAAAGCATGACTCTTGGGGCCTATGATCTGATTAAGGCCATAGAAAAGAGATTTAAATCTGACAAACAGTAGTTGTAAAACAAAATAATACAACCTAACTTAAAAACAGTTCCATAGTTACAGCATTCAATTTGCTGTGGAATAACGGCGCATTCTACTGTACTACAGGAGGGCACCTAAATGTGAGCGAGCTAAGGCTCTCCCCACAGCAGCCCTGCCCCAATCACAGTTCCCAAACTCATCCTCTCTCCCAGCCACTGAAGTGAGGTGGGCAACACAGTGCCATGGTTATCAATCACGAAATTAGAAGTCACTCCGATATTTTTTGAATGAGTAAATGGATGGATGCTTGGATAGATGAAGGAAGCAATGAGTAAGTCCTCCAATAGAAATAGATTGAGAGATGTTTTTCCAATCAGAACAAAAAACAGGAGTTGTTGTTTAGTAAGTATTGCCTTTTAATTCTGCAAGATGAAACGTTCTGAAGACTGGTGGTACAGCACTGTGAATATACTTAGCACTACGAAGCTACACAGTTAGAAACCATTAAGATAGAAAATTTTACTACATATTGTTTTTACTATAGTAAAGGAAATGTAAGAAATCAAACCAAGTATTAAAGATGAGAAATAAAACTTTTAGAAAGATTTAGAATATACTCATTGATAGCTGCCTGAATCTTACTGGGACCGCTCCGATAAATTTTCAACAGTGCGTCCCTGACTTCTTCTTCTTTTCTGATATTATTTCTCCTTTTCTTTTGTTGACTTCTCGTTTGGGACCAGTAATTGGCAGTTTGATTGTATATGATTTGTTATCATAAGTGAGAGAACTGGATGGCTTATTTCTGGCTATCATAAGTGAAAGAATAAGTGAAAGAATTGCTACAAAAAGCAAAAAAATATTATTTCATTCAATTGGGGGTTTCCTAGAGTAGAGACCAAGAACTACTAAGTTTTATTTCAGTATATAATTTTCAGGGATTTTTATAATTGGCTCATCATAGAAGTAAAGCAATGAGCACAGGCCCTGAAGCTGGCTGAGTAGTTAAGACCAGCTCTACCACTCACCAGCTTAACCTCTGTGTGCCTCGGTTTCCTCATTCTCTAAATGAAGATACTTTTTAAAAGCTTAAAATAGTATTTACCTCACCTGTGAAATGGGAATACTTATTTTTAAAAGCTTAAGCAAGAATTTTACTTCATTTAAGCAAAAGCTTATTCCATTTTCACAAATTTAAAAACAAAACTATTTTTAACAATAGGCTAAAAGTTAAAAAAAATAGCTTCTCAAATTTTAGTGAGTAACATCTCTTTAGTGCATAATTTTATGCTCATCTATGACCCCCACATTCAAAAATAACCACTGTTAACATGGCGCATGGTATATATCAAATATAATTATATTTTATACTGCATTTGTGTCTTATTTTTAAACTTAATGTATCATGGGCATTTTCTCAAATTGATACATCTTTGGAGTTTCCTACCAATTCAGAATAAAACCCAAAGTCCCTACCTTGTCCTAAAAGCGCCAACATGATCCCAAGTCTCCTGGCCTCACCTTAGCTCCTCTCTTTCCAGGTCCTACCTTACTCACTGGGCTCCAGACACACTAGCCTTCCTGCTCAGCACGCGCTTGCCTTTGCACTCAGTGTCCTCTCTGTAGGACTTTTCTTCCAGACTTTCACAAGGCTTCCTCACTCCCACACTTCGTTCACGTCCCACCTTCTAACAGGTGAACACCCTGTCAGGTAGCAACCCTGCCTGTCCCCCTGCCCTGTTTTATTTTTCACCTTCTCGCACTTACCACTACTTCACATACTATTAGTGGTTAAGGCCCGTTTGTCCCAGTAGAGTGCAAGTGCCATGAGGGCAAGGACTCGTCTGCCTTGTTTACTGTTTTATCCCCTGGCACTAGGTTCTGAACAAACCCTCGTTGAACAGACAAATGAATGATTTTTGCTCTAGTTCGTCATTCCATGACTGCACAGAACTCTGTTGCAAAGATGTTGCTTACTATATTTAACACTACTTTGAGATACAAACCATACTGCAATGGGCATGCTTAAACACATTCTCTTAAATACTTTTTGATGGTTCCTTCAGGGCTAAGTTAGTGCAGCAGCTTCCTAACCATCTCCTCTTCCTCTCTTTCCTCCCCCCACAGGCTACTGGCAGACCAGCATTACGTCACGCTGCTTTTTCTTCCTGGAATGTACTGAAGTGTGGGCCCAAACTCTGCATGCTGGCCTGTCCCTATTTGGCTTTTGCACTCTTAGGTCCCATCGCTGTGCAGAAATACATCTTCCTCTTTAAACAATTTGCCCCTCCTATCGGTTCCTCCAATCATTTAGTCTACATAGTTCCCTCTTAACGAATACATTCCTGTTTGTTTACCTACCCAAATTATGGCTCGCTTCCAGGGCCCCAGCTACCCCGGCTGATCCCATCATTCCTTCCCTGAATCTCATCTGCATAAGCACTCGCTTTTCTGCAATTTTTAAAAACTTTTCTGTGTCTTCCCGCATCCACCCCTTGAGACGACCCCAGCCATCTGCCATGTCCTAGCACCTACTATAGATTACAACGTGCAATTCTGTGATGCATAAAATCCTCTTCTTCTCCTTTCTCAAAGTCCTATACAGCCCTAGCCACAAGACACTAAGTATTTTCTAATTTACTTGTTTTGACAAAATCAAAACTTTTGTGGAAATTGAGATAACTTTTTGAAGAAAGAGAAATATTAGTCATGATAAAATATTATTCTTTTGTCTTTGTATGTCTTGGGATGGGATAATTCTTTGCATGTCATGTAATGGGATAATTCTACCCATTATCCTTACATGAATAATTCATAAATCTCTATATGCCACCCTTATTAAACCACCATACAAAATATGTTTCTGATAATTTTTTTGTTTTTTTAGACTTTGGCTTATCTTAAGATAACATTAATAACAATTAAATTATTTTTAAAGGAACATGTCTTTCATGAATTATTATAAAATCACAATGGGGCCATATCTGAGTTATACAGAATTTTTCTGGTTTTTACGTGGGGGATATGGGCACTCAGGGAATCACGAAATGTTCCTTTTCTCCCTTATTTTTGTGCATAAGAAATTCAGTTAAAATGCACACAGAGGGCCCTGAGAAAGGCAAACAGTTCAGACAGCGCAGCGTGTACGTGAACGCTGGGCGCGAGCAGGGCCTGGGGGAGGAGCCTTCTCTCTGCCGCGATGCGGCCGGTGCCAAGCTGAGCACTTGCACAGGAGTGGCACGAGAGCAACACTGAAGGTGAGTCCAGAAGTCACACACCCCTTGGCTTCTTCATCTCAGTAACTTACATTTTCATACCAAAGCCTCGGGTCTTTTTCTCAGCCCCCAGGTGCTTTCTGGTTGCCTGGACTCTGACCCTCCAAGGCACCCAAGGCAGCGGGGCAAATGGCCACTCACCGTCTTCTTCAAAGAGGAGTCCCATGTGCCCATGCGCCTCGGCTTCTTTCTTCCCGCCGTCAATTTTGATCAGTTGGGCGATCTGAAAACATCGCTCATAGAAGTGGTTCCTTACCCACTTGTCTTCAGAATTATTGAAGTAACAGGCCAGAGCATACAAGTTATTATAGACATCTTCAAAGTATCCTTCAAAGAGAGAAAAACATCATACGCTAAATTAGAAAAATGTCTCAGGACACATCCCTTCAAATGGCAAACCATTATACTGATGTTCATTTTCCATTTGTCCTTAAAACATGATTAACGATTTTAAAAATCAAAATGCAAAAATTAATGTATATTGACTATTAAAATAGTTACATTAATTAAAGAATGAGCCCATGAGGAAAGCAACAGAAATATCTTTGCAAAAACTTAGAACATGTTAGAAATAGACATGGTCTTTGGTTGAAGCACTGGACTTCATATGAGACAAAAGACAATAGTATCCACTAGCAGTGTGCTCAGTGCTTTCAAAAGAAATGAATATTCGGTTATTAACAAATACTTTTCCCCATTGAAGAATTAAAAAGCATGCAGAGATTCTAGAGAAAGCAATGTTTCTTAACTATGGCAAAAAGGTAATGCAAATGAAGAAAGTAGATAGAATATGAAGATAGCAAGGTTTTTCACTCAGAAGCAAAACTGTCACGAGGCTTACAAGAGGATGAGGATGGCCCCACAGGCTGCACACACTCTCTAGCAATGTTTCTCACCATACAACTTCCTAGCAATGTTAAGAAAGAGTGAGTATCTACACTTGTGTTCTATGAGTGCATTAGGACTAGTCGTCCCCCTCACTCAGACAGTCATTAGTTTATTAGTTGTCAGTGTATTGAAGTTCCCCCTTTCCCCTGAAGTGGCGTCTGACCTATCTGTACCAAAAAAAAAAACGTATTAATATATTGCGAATCAGTCTTATGAATCCCACTGCCATCAATCATAAATTCGAACAAAAATATCGGGAGCTAAGAAACTGTGCCTCAGTCCCGTAAACTCCGTTCTTTGGTGAACGGGGACAAATTCGCAATCCTTAGGCCTTTTTGCATTTGTGCTGAAATCCCGGTTGTGAATATGTGGTAGGTTCTGGGTTACCTTTCCCAGGATTTTTTCATCACAGCCATTATTATTCACTGATATACTCCTGAAAGGATTATAATTATGAAAAATGTTTATACATCACCCACTACCACTGCTGTGAGATTAAAATGGAAACGCTTAGAAAAATTGAAGCTAGGCTGACTACAGCAAAGGGTAACTTTGAAAAACTGCACCTAAGTCACTCCAAAGTATCAAAAGAAATTTCTGAAACCTGCGTCATTCTTTTTCATATATTGCTTCCTAATTCCATAGGAAATTAAGATTTAAAGTAAGACAAAAAAAATTTCTCCCCATCACCCTGTTTTTGGAGGAGCTGGGGATTCTGGAGAGTCATTCTGCAACTGCCTAGGTGAAAAGTGGAGAACAAGCTGGGTTATTTAGTTAAAAAAACAAGGACTCTCATCTCAGAACTGACTTCTTCCGTAATCTATCCTCCATTCTGAATCTTCGACCTGAGGTGACTAGGGCACTAAGGTCTGTTTTGTAATATTTCTTTGATCACACTTAGTGATCAGGGCGTTATTTTTTAAAGGTTGGAAGTAAAGTACTTCCTATCTGCCATTTTAAAAAGTTATATAAAGAGCTTTTAAAAATATATGCTGTGCTTGAAATAATTTTCCTTTTTTAGTAATTAAATTTTAATAGAGAAACATTTTTAACATTTCATAAATGAAGTTTTGTTATTTCTTTCTAGAATGAGTTAGATGAGCTATCAAGATTGCATATTTAAAGACTAGTTGATGTTAATCTATTAATAGTTAATAGCTTAACTAACTTAACTACTAACTAAGTTAAAATAGTTAAGCTACTCTATATGGAAAAATGAAGTTTTTCCAGAGTATTAAATATAAAAGAGTATAGTCAAGTTTTTAATCTTTGTGCAATCCAAATATGTGTTTCTACCATTTCCATTATAAGCAGACTCTAAACCCTCCTTAAGTCATTAGCAGGTATGTTTATAAGATGAAAATCAATTTTATTGTTGGTTTATTATTTAGGTCAGTATTTATGATGCTCCCTAAGAAGGAGATTCCATGATAAAATAAATTCAGATGTGGCTCTTGTTAATTTCCCCCTTTCAGTGAACCGCAATGAACATTGGCATGTTAAGGGCTCCGATAAGTCCGCAATAAACAAACCTGCTTACGTTAATGTTAATTCACATAGTGGTTCTCCAACTTATTTCACCACACAATTATTTTTTGTTTGCTTTGCTAAAACCTATAAACATCCAGGGGGATCATGCTTTTGTAGACTCTACCCTGAGTATCTTAGGTAAATTTTGCCAGAAAAAAACACTGCTTAACCCTTGACAATAATTTAAAGTCAAGTGCAAATAACATTGAAGTTATCTATCGATCCAGTTGCCATTACCATTATTGTCATCCCTTCTCTAGCCCCATGGGGCACGAGGCCCTAATCATCATGTTACAGATGGTACAAAGGTCACTCACAACAATGGGTCATATAAGAAATACTGCTAGGGACAAAGAAACACTTTAATAAATGGAAAATAATCCAAAAAGCAATGACTACCTGACTTTAAATACTTCTTTGCTATAAAACAGAAAATGATGTTTTGTAAAATAATTTAAATAAAGTCTAGATTTTTGTTCTGTAAGTCTCAAGAGACAGAACTGGCCTGAGACGCCTGTTGTGAGTGCCACAGCTTTGATGAGATGAACTTCACAGTGAGTCTGGAGTGCTGGTCACTCCAGTGAGAAGAAATGAGGATGCTTGAAGATACGCTCCTTCAGAACAACTGTCGCAGGCCCCAAACCGTATGTGATGGAGTATTGAGGTACTATTAACAGATTTTTACAGACTAGACAAAGTGTGTGTGTGTGTGTGTGTGTGTGTGTGTGTGTGTGTGCGCGCGCTTTAAGTGTGCTTTAAGATTTAGGATTAATTCCAGTGAGTAATAGTGAATGCACCCCTGCCCATTTCTTGGGACAGTTCTAACTCTAGTAACAATTTTCCCCCAATAAAGTTTATGTGTTAGTAAATATGAAAAAAGTAAAAATTAAAAAAATGTGCAAATGTATATATATCCTTCAACTGAAGGATCCTAAATATTATTTCCAATAATATTTATTGCAGTAATTTTAATAGTTCAAATGAGCAAAAGCCACTGCATTTTGAAAAAGATAACTCTACAGAGGAAGGATTGAGCAAGAAGTAATTTTGTTCCATTTAACAAATGCAACCTTGGTTACCATGAATATATACCACTCAGTAAAGAAAATATTTATTATCATAACTTATCCAACACGTATAATACATTCACTATTATTAAATTTGGACTCTTTATTTTTGGGATTGGAGAAACATTTTTTATTTATATGTATAGTTACTTTTCTTTAATAAAAGTATAAGTTAAAATGATTTCTACCTTGAAATAGACTACTTATCATTTTAGTTTCTTTATAATTACAAAATGCTTATGATAAGTTTCTCATAGTTATGACATTTTACAAAGTGATATGTTTGGCTCATATTTATTCTACTCAAAGGAAAGCCTCTATTGAATACATTTAGTGAGTATGATGAATTGACTTGAAAAAGTGACCAATGGGAAAATTCTATCTTGATCGAGTCTATTTTCAGTGTAAATATCACTTCAGAATTTGGGACTGGTATTAGTATGTAGGTTTTTTTACAATAGCATTTTTATTTACAATAGTTAATTTCTTGAGAAATTATGTGTAAATCACATTTTAAAATTCACTAAAGTGCCCTATTTTTGAAGTCAATCCTACGATTAAATGCTTTTCGTAATAGAAGTAACCACCTCTTGTCTACACACGCCCCCCGCCCTAGTTCACATACAGTGATTTTTATGCACCTCATATTTGTAAGTCAGGTCATGACCTGATGAGAAATACATATCAACGCTACTACAGAGGCTGAAGGACTCCTGCTACCCTTCAGATTTCCCCATTGGAGCATCAGTAACAAAGAGTTGCCTAATATTTCCTCATAGAAAGGCCTGAAATGAAATGTGGACATCATTATGCTGGGGCCTGAGCTTCCCTTTTTGATCCCTCTAATATTTTCACACCAAAAATTGAAAAGAATAATTCTATGTCAAATTCTAGGACTTCCTGTCTTTGACTATATAAAGTGACTAATTTCTAATATGTAGCTAAGAATTACTTATGGCAGCAATATTGGTATTACAAAAGAATAAAATATTTTGTTCAATACTTGAAACATAGTGACTTTCAGGAAAAAAATTAGGATGAAAAAGAGGACTTTGTTAGACATGACGTGATGGGATACGTAAAATAAACAATTTTATTCATAACTGTGAATTGTAGCTTTTCATGTCTTCTCACTATTTACTAACAAAAATTTTCTGATTGATAGCTGTAAGACTTATTGGTGAAACCTTCAAACTCCATTATATAAATACTAGAAAATCAGTGTAATTTTAAAATTATAGTGCTCTGAAAGTTTCTCCTTGGTGAAAGTCAATATCAGATCACATATAAAGAAACACTTTGGGAGGATTTATAATTAATGATACAGAAGATTTTAATACATTGGAAAGTTTCGGCAATGTCATCATGTGCTATTCCTTGTCCCCCCTGCTGCAGAGCGCCCTCGCCAGGGTGCCCATGTCTGGGGCAGCCCCGGAACTCAGGGCTGCCTGTCATTCATTCCCTAAGGATGCTTAGTTGACTAGGTTGAGCTGTACCAAGTTGCCTTAACGCCTCAAATTCATACGTGGAACAACTGGGACTCTTCCCTCCACTCACCTTTCCTCTCAGCCACCTCGGCCCTGGTCAGGTAGTGGTAGAAGTGATCCAGCTTATCAGGCTGCTCCTCCAGGGGTCTCTGTAACCAGAGGAGGGACCTGCTCCTGGCCTGCTCCCTGAGGGCCTCCCACTTCTCCATCAGAGCGAAGAGCTCAGTGAAGGACATATGATAGCCATCCCGCAGCATGTCCACACAGATGTTCTTCACGTACGAGTTCTGGTAACTGCGAATAGAGTCAGAACACTCAGGCGTTATGTTAGTTCTTGAAATCTGTGCACTGCTTTTATCCTATAATAATCAGAGATTGGATTGTGCTGCCTGTTTGTCCCCAGTGAAAGCACCGAAAACTATCTTTGCCTCAAACACTGACAGTGGACCAACTTCAGTTTCATGAAGGCTGCCAGGGGCTAATGCGGTAGTTTTCATGAGACTATATTATAAATCTATCCGTTCTAGAGCTGAGCCCCCCTTGTTCAGGACAAACAAGCTAGTTGACTGATGTCTTAGTCTGTGTGAGCAGCTAAGACAAAATCCTACCGAGTAGCTTATTTTCAAAAGAAACTGCTCACACTTCGGAGGCTGCAAGTTCAAGATGAAGGCATCAGTGTGGTCACCTTCCAGTGTGGCCCTCTTCCTGGTTCGGGGCTGGTCCCTTGCAGCTGTTGTGTTCTCATATAGTGGGAGGGGCTCGGGAGCTCTCTGGAGCCTCTGGTACAAGGTGCTAACTCCACCATGAGGACTCCACTCGTGACCTAAACACCTCCCAAAGGCCCCACTTACTGGCACTTTCAGGGATTCAGGTTTCAACATAAGAATTCGAGGGACATGAACATTCCAGACCATAGCAATTGATGACATCCCAAATTACTTGATATATTTATAAGCCTTTCACCAAAACAATGCAACCAGTAAGCCAAGCAAATATTAAACATGTCACTTAATATCAAAGCAAAGCACTCTATTGTAAATGATTTCACTGTGCGTTATGGAGGCTCATTCATTCATTCATTCATTCATTCATTCATTCATGAAGAACGCGTTTATTGAAATTTATTACTAAATACATTTTTTAATTCTTTAAAGTTAGGATTACATTAATGATTTATTAGTATTTCACTACTAAAAAATAAATCATATACAAAAAGATAAGTTGACAAATGAATATTCTACTTATTTATTCAAGTAACAGCTAGTGAGCTTCATTCTAAGTGCCAGGCATTGTCCTAGACCAAATAGGTTCAATGTCCTGGGGTCAGTTTGTATTCTTGTGAAAGAACATAACCAACAAATAAGTGTACAACTAATAAATAATGTCAGATGATAAAAACTTCTGTACAGGGAAAAGGGTTATGGGATAAGAACTGTATGTGGTGGCTATTATTCCACTAAACATGAAATTAGAGGCCCAATGATCCAGCTTTATGTTACTTACTTTACATTCTTTTTAAAAAATAGGGGACAATGAAATAATTAAAACAACAGATTTAATGTGACACTCACTAGTTGCCATAAAAATTTCAGCCTGGAGTAGAACTAGCCTAGAATAAGCCCAAACACCCAAGGTCTGATCAGAACACCCAGTTCCACAAAATCTCCCTGGACCCCATTTCTTCTCATCTGGGAAATGTGTATATTAACTTACACTAAGAACAAATGAAACTACATATGTGGAAATGATCTGAAATGCTAAGTCCTACTCTAGTGGTTCTCAGTGCCCCACCATGCCACACAGTCACCTGCAGAGTTTAAAAGACAAACAAAACAAAAATGCCCAGACCCCACCTGCAAAGAGTGTCTTATGCAGCGAACCAGCTTAGCTGAACAACGAAGTACACAGAGTGGTGAAGAGGAGGGCAGCGAAAGAGGACAGTGTTTGAAAAGGCAGGACCCAGGTCATGAAGAGACCTCAGCGTCATGGGAAGAAGTTGGGACTCCAGGCTGGGAGTGAGGTGGAGCCATCCAGGGGGCTGAGTCAGGGACATGACTTGAGGAGACTGCATTGAAGAAATCTCTGGAAGGACTGTCCCAGCTGGACTGCGGTCCCCTGCTCTTCTCCACCCCGCCACCCAATAGGGCCCCTACTGCTGGAGGACTAGTCCATAGAGGGAATAAGAAAACCACATTCCTGGGCCAAAAGCTCAAAAGCCACTGTCTTGTATGAAACAAACAAATTATTTGTAATGGGAAAAGGAGAAGCCATAACCTACTTGAGTTTCTGCCCTCCAGTTGAGATAGTGTGGAGAAACAGTGAGGTGCTGTGCAGGACTGCGTCCTCTCTCTCAGCCCCTCCCCACAATGCCAGTGGCCACAGGCAGGGGATATGCACTGCAAGGCTGTGCAGGAGCTGCCCACTGGGGGCAGAGGGGGGACCCAGCTGCACCTGGGAGCACAAGCAGCACTGAGGACCTACCGAAGGAGTCAGGTCAGTGCATTTCCAGGGTGGACAGAAAGGGAGGGATTGAGTGCACCAGAGATGGGCACCCGTGTAGAACCTCACCAGTCAGGAAAGCAGTCGGTTACCAGTAAAACTGGCCTCACATGGCCTTCAGAACTAGAGGGTTTTATTTCTCACAGCACAAGATGCCTAAAGGTAGGCAGCTACTGGCCTTGGTTCAAGGCTCATGCCTCTGGGATTATTTTAACCTTTCACTCAGCCTTGTCCCCTGCTGGTCGCTGGAGGGCTACCAGCTCCAAATGATCATTTCCTCCTTCGAGGCGAGAAAAAAGGGGAGAATGGAGTGGCACCAGCTGTGTCTTTGCCTATTACAGGGAAAAACATTTCTGCAACCACTAATGGATGTCCACTTTGGTTTCACGGGCCAGAACCCTGCCATGCGGCCACCCCTGCCGTAAGGGGACTCGAAAGCAAACATCCTGCCTGTTCTGGGGCACGTTACCACCCTAAACAAAACTGGGGTCATGTTAGCCGAGAAGAAGGGAGATGGGGGATACAGACAGGCAGATCAGGGTCTGTCACGGGGTCCCAGATAAAGCTGGACAGAGTGCCCAGTTAAATGTGAATGTCACACAGTGGAACTGAAGGAGAGCAGGGGGACAAACGGAAGAGGTGGAGTCAACACAGTTATGAGATAAAGATGTCGGATACTTAGTGAATGAGTGGGTGTTGGGGTGATGACAACGAAGGACAACCAGGTTTGGGGAGTAATTTCATTTGCTAAGAGGGGAACACAAAAGGATGCACAGTTTTAGGGAAGGATAAATGAATTTAGGTTCAGAGAACTTGAATTTGAGGAGCCTAAAAGGACATCCAAGCAGTACCCGCAAAGACAGCTTTGGAGGGTAGAAGCCATCTGAGAGGCCAAGGGGCTGGATGCTTCCGTAGGTTTACACCTGGGCTGCCCAGCATGCTTTCCTGGGAGTGGAGAGAGCATTCTGGAGCAAAAGTATATTACAAATAAATAACTATTAGAATATGGATTTTAAACAACAAAAATAAACACTAGACAGGAGGCTATCTCAGTTCTAATTGCCATGGGGACAGAAATGCAGAAAACTGCTCCGGGAGCCTCATTTCGCTGGCCCGGAAGAGGCGGTGGCAGTGGGCGGACCTGGTGCGCCCTGCCCTGCAGAGCACTTGCAGAGACAGCTGCTCCTGTGCCTTGTGCCCCCCAGGCTGCACTCGATTTCAAAGACTCCCTAGCCAAGGGGTGGGCCCGTGACCAAAATTAAGGCACTGGCCTTTCTCCTAAGATTTTGGATCTTGAAGCAAGAAACACGAAGATGTAGAAGGCCGTTGGAGCTCAAGCAACCTGGCAGCGACATCCTGAGAAGAGGCTCAAGCAGATCTTGTTGCTACCTAGACCTATTACTACGCCCCACCTCTTGTACTTTCCTCTGAGCCAATTCTCCCCTAAACTCAGCAAGTCGCCTAACACCCCTTCGGTAAGATCTTTCCCACTTCATCTGGTCAGAACCAGCTTCTGCTGCCTCTGACCAAAGAACACGAAATGGATTCAGAAGGTTCTGGCCTAAAATGGTTTCCAAGACGTCTTGCAGCCTCAAAACTTCTACAATATATAACTAATAGCAACTTCTAAAATTTCAAGCACATTTTAAAAAACAGACCTTTCTTTATAGAAAGGAGACATCAAACATTAATAGAATTGTATTTTCAAATGCATTCTGTTACTAGGCTGATAGCTCTATTTTATTCATGTGTGTTTGTAGACACATGCAAATGTGTTGTCGTTTAAGCCTTGTTACTAATATTTGAGAGCAAGGAAGAGGATTGTAGTGAACTGTTAAATAGGTTCCTATTCAAACTTCTGTAGTTAATGCAAATAATTCCTTCTAACTGCAATAATTTTCATGTACTACAACAAACTAGATATGTGAAAATAAAAATATGTTAATTTCTACCATTACATGTACATTTCTCAGGTTTTATATTTCATAACAGAGAACCAAAGTCCACTCACTTTATGAAAAAGGGATTTTTTAAAATACAAACAGAAATATAAATGGAATGCAAATTCACTATTTTATTTATTTCATTTGGACATAATATGTTTAGTCTCTGGTTTCATTTACATATTAAAGCAAATATTACTGCAAATTAAAATATGTTCTTTTTAAATATCAGGAGAAGAAAAATTTCCTTGACCTTAAAGCAGTCTACAGGGTGAAAAGGGAGAATCTGGAAAAAATTATGGAGAGATTTGATAATGTGTAATTGGAGGGGAGTTGTCCTGACAGAAAACACCAGTCATGAGGCAGAGGTTGTGATGCTCACCAATGTGCATGGCATCTCTAAATACACATCCCATGGAAGCGTCGGGTTTTGCGGGGCCTGAAGCTTCCCTGGGCTGAGGGACGCAGCCAGAGAAGAAGGGACTTAGGAGTAGGATTAAGCAGTCATGCATTTCACATGGAGTCTATTACTATTCAAAGGCATTATTCAATAGACAGAATATGTTTAAGTATTCTGAATTTACATCCAAATTTCCCTCAAAAATTCTAAGATTAAAAAAAATCTATGGACTGACAGGAAGTAAAACTGAACCTTTTGACACAACTCCATAGCAGCTGGGTGCGTGGAGATGCTGGGAAACGGGAACTTTCCGTTAAAACAGCTGCAGAAACATTATATCAGATGTAAATTCCGCCTTAAACCATTTTGAATGGCTACTGTGTATAGAGCACCTACAATGTGCCAGATGTAAACATTATTTCTAAAAATAACTCTACAAAGTACTGCTTCTA